AGTCTCAGCTAAATAGTCACAACTTGTCTAGACACGATTACCTAAATACTTGGAAAAGTATAGTTGTATTTTTGTCTTTACTTATTACTGCAGGCGTATGTTACCAATAGCATTAGGTATCGAGGTATTGGTATCGATACCTTGGAAAAGTACTAGGTATCGACATCGATACCTAAATTGTGGTATCGGCCCATCACTACTAGCGGGGTAGAACGAGAACGCAAGCCGATTTTCTGCTCACACAAAAACGTTTCAGAAGGACCGTACAATATGTAGTAAATCATTTCCCGGAGGCAGGCTATGATAGTGACCATTTACCTGCCACGTGTAAAATGCAGATAACATTTAAAAAAAAAAAACTAATAAAAAATTCAAAGGACCGATACCTAAATAGGACATACGTGTTTTAAAGACAAATCAAGAACTAAGAGAACAATTCTCGAATATTGAAGTAAACAATAGATTTCAAGCTGTGGAAAACATGACTAGATCTGAAGAATTATGAAGAAAATGAAGTTTCAAGTAGATCCAAACTAATAAAATTTATCAAAAACCCACTTTGCCGATTAGAAGCCGCTCAAAGAGACAATAGGGATTCATCGCTGCGTTGTTGCACTACAGAGGCTCTTCCTTCGCCTTTATTCATCACGTCGGCTTGCAACTTTATGTCAATTCAATGTTTGCCCACAGAGTGCAAAAGTCAGCTTCTAATTGCCAAAAGCATCTGTATTTCTTACAAAGGAAGGACAGGTCTTCAGTACATATTAATACGTATCATTTTGAATTATTTCATCAATAAAATGTATCATTCAACTTGTCTCTTATTACTGTCAGTGCATCTATAGTCAGAACAGTTCTAATATTTATTGCCTATTGAATTCTAAGCCACCCAGGGTTGTGTTTTGGTATTCTTTTCGCCGTCGCCTTCTTTTCTGAGCTACCTTGCCTGGCCAAGACGACGGCTATCAGAGTCTGGGCCGAAAACAATACCACCAAAGATGATACCACTACTTGGCCCACTTTCCTTCTCCCCTTCTCCACCTTCATCCCAGTCAGACTCGAAATTTCTATAATTAGCATCTGACAAAGTTACCCAATTAGAACAGTGACCTGAAAAACGAGAAGTGCAAAGAAGGAAGAGAAGAACATTTGGATATGACTGGAATTGTTGGGTGCAAATTTTGTTCAATGTGTGGGCGCGGATGTGTGTTTAATACAGTCGTAATAGTGAACAGTATGTGATTCTTGCCTTGATCTTCACGGGACAGCATCATTAGTAAGGTACCAAATGAAATTTTGCCACACCCAGGATTCATATTGCCAAGGCAGTGTAGAAAGTATAATATAAGTCTTTGGGTGAAGTATAGGGGGCCAGGTCTAAGATTCTAATATTTTTTTAAAGCAATAAACCCGAATTATCTTAATCTCATAAGCGAAGGTACCGGGTGAAAAGAACAAACGAGATCAACAGTTTGAATATCTAATCTTAACATCTCATGCCAAATGTTCCATATGGAAATAAAACGAAAAATTGCAATTGCTAAAGACAGTAAGTAAGTCCAATCCTTCTTCTTCTTCTCTTCTTCTTCTTCTTCTTCTTCTTCTTCTTCTTCTTCTTCTTCTTCTTCTTC